TATGATTTGTTTCGTCCTCTCAAATCACCACAAGAAATCTGAAAAGTCTTGGAACATAAATATACCACTATGAAATAAGGAACAGATAGATTCCTTAGTATGAGTTTTTTTGAATTTCAAATGGTAGATGAAAAATCTGTCATGGAACAGGTTGATGAGTTGTTTGTCTTGATTTCTAGACTCAAAGATTTTAAAGTTGATATTTCTGAATCTCTTACATTCTTACTAAAACTTTAATGTGGACCAGCTGACAAAGCATATGTTTGAATTGAAGAAGAGAAACGAAAACATAAAAATAAATATGCTATAGAAACTTATTTAAAAGTTAATTATGTTAAGTCTAGTAAGGCAAATAATTCTGGAAAATCTAGAAACAAGGCTAGAAAGAAGAGAAAATTTGAGGCTGCTCCGAGGAAAAATTATTCTTACAATAAGAAAGGACCATATTATACTTATGGTAAAATGGTCCATTTTAAGAGATATTGCAGATTTCATGAGAATTAGAAAAATGGAGAGAACGCTGGATAGAAGAGGGTAAATAATGTTGAACAACATCAAGCTTCTTCTTCGGGATATCGTTGCTATGATTTCTGCTTTTACTACTTTGAATATGAGTGTGGTGACCGAAGGCAATATGTCAACGACTCTGAAATCTGCATAGTGGTGGTTATGATTTCGGTGTTACATTTTATGTGTGCAATGACAAGAGTTTCTTCAAACATAATGAACTTGCAACAAGTGATCAAAATGTCAATGAAAAATTATGACACTGCCAAGGTCTTTGGAAAAGGAACAAACGAATTACAATTTACTTCGAAAAAGAAATTGATTTTAATGAATATTCGTTATGTCCTTGATGTTCGGAAGAATTTAGTGTTTGCCGATTTATTAAGTAAGAAAAGTCCCAAAGCTATTATAGAGGCAGAAAAATAGTACTATTTTTCTCTAAGAATGGTTTATTTATAGGACAAGGCTAATCTTGTAAGGGCATATTCAATTAAGTATTAATAAAGTTAAAATTTTTGCTTATATGATTGAGTCATCATTTAATTTGTGGCATGAGTAAACTTTCATATATTAATTTTAAATCAACTATGTTTATGTCTAAAATGGATTGATTATGTGGATAAAAAATATTGATAAAAATGTGAAATATGCATACAAGCTAAGACGACCAAGAAAATCTTTTTTCAAGAATAGAAAGAATAAGTAATTTAATTGAACTTGTACATTCTCATATATGTGAATTGAATTGTCATTTACGGCCTCTTAAACTTGGCTCCACTTTCTATTTAGACACTTCAACTAAGGTCAGTACCTATTGTACGCTTTAACTTAATAGAATATGTACCTATTAAATACCTCATGACAAGTGGGACGATGTGTGATTTGTACCCAAAATTCGGCACATGAAGAAGAAATATTTGGCCTGTATTTTTTCTGCTTTCTTCTTCAAATAATTTTTTTAATTCTTCTTCTTTATCCTTCATCTTCTCCATCGCTACCTCCATATACCACAAGATTCTTTTCTAGAGTTATAGATTTATCTCACTTCCATTATTGATTAACTCATCAATTCACTTTAAAGAATTATGTACACGCCAAAGAAAGAGTAAAACCCAGAAATGATATTTTAAAAGAGGCTGAGATTGATCTTGAAATTCAAACTCGAATGTGCAGTAATGTTAAACTTTACTTCTGAATTACCTTTTCATTTCAGAGAGACACCTTAGAATTCACTTTGAATTTGAATTATTTACAAGTCAAAACATAGCTCAAACTCATTTTGCTGAGAGAAAACAACAACAACAAAACTCGGCAATTTCATAAAATAATCAAGCAAACGATTTTGCAATACTTGATTTTGCAAAGAGAAACCCAACAAGAAAAAGCGCAATTTCAAACATCAACCCTGTAATATCGAACCCATTTTACATAGAAAAATCCAACAAGAAAAACCCAGCAATTTTAGATTGACTTGATTTTGCAGCTAAGAACATGGAGATTAACCAAACGGTTTCGTCTGCATCAACATTTTTCGTCCAGATATGAAATTTTACGGCCAAGTTGCACATCTACAAACATGAAAATTTTCCAACCAAGAATACAATATATTTTTTGTTTGGACATGGCTAGAGAGATGGAAACATAAATGGGCAGGGAAAAAGCTGATTGCTTGAGAAAAGAGAGGGGAAAAAAGATAGCCGTCCGGAAAAGGTGAGTTTGGTGTGGGGAGGGGGGAGTAGAGTTTTTAAATTTTTTAAAATCTTTTTCAATTTGGATTATTTAGCCTTAAATAAAGAAAAAGGAAAATGGGAACAACCACATGTCACTTTTTAATTCGATGTTTCACCACGTCATCCGAAAGTGAACAACACGCACTTAACTTTTTAAACCGGGTGAGTGAGAGCTGTTAAATAGGTACATACACTATTAAGTTAAAGTGTACAATATGTAATGGCCTTAGTTGAAGTGTCTAAATGAAAACTAGTGCCAAGTTTAAAGGGTCGTATAGGTATTTGGCCTAATTTATTACTTTTAAAGATGATCATTTTAGATATACACATGTTTATTTAATAAAAATAAAAGATCAAGCATTTGATATTTTTAAGAATTACAAAGGACTAGTGGAAAATCAATTGAAAAAGAAGATTAAAATCCTATATAGTGATCGAGGAGGTGAATACTTTTCCAATGAATTTTCTGTTTGCGAAAAAAATAATTTGGTTCACCAAGTTAGTGCACTGTATACCCCATAACAAAATAGTTTTGCTAAGAGGAAAAATAGACGTTGGTAGATATGGTTAAGGCCACGCTTTTACATGCAAAGCTACCAACGAATTTGTGGGTGAAAGTTTTGCTAATGGCTTGTTTTGTGCACACTAGAGTACCTTCAAAGAAATTTAAGGTCTCACCATATGAATTATGAAAAGGAAGAAAGCCTAATTTAAATTGCTTAAGGGTATAGAGTCATTTAACCTATCATAGAATTTCAGATCCTAAAAGGACAAAGTTAGGACCTAGAGAAATTAAAAGCATATTTGTAGGATATGCTGAAAACTCAAAGGCATACATGTTACTAGACATTGAGTCTATATATATTTTGAATCAAATGATGTTGTGTTCTTGGAAATAAAGTTTATTCGGTGATTTTAATAATTCAAATAAAAATACATAATTTTTTTATCAAGATGATAGTGCAGTAAGTCTTGGTGATGATGCAGTAACCCAAAAAAGTAGTACAAATCCTAGTTCGTCTTCTAACAATAAAATAAAGGCGACTGAACCTCCGGTTGAATCAAGGAGAAGTCAAAAAACTAGAAAGGAAAGAATGTAGGTTCTAATTTTATTTCTTCTCAAGCACTAGTCTTTTTGGTAGAAGGAAGTAGAGATAAGGTATTAAATAAAAATACTTACTATTTTAAATATAGAAGAGAATCCTAAAACTTATTGTGAGGCAATAGCTTCACGGAATTAGGTTTTCTAGAAAGAAGTTGTAAATAAATGGTACATGGCTATTGTCAGATTTATTCCCTAACACTAAATCTATTGGTTGTAATTTGTAAATGGGTGTTTAGAAGAAAGTCAATACCGATGATTCTCTGCAAACCTTTAAAGCTACATTAATAGCCAAAGACTTCAGACAAAAAGCAGGAGCTCCTGTGGCCATGATTACCTCAATAAAAGTATTATTTGCTTTGGCATCAATTACGGAAAGTGAGGCGTGTATATTATTTACTCGTAATTCATATATAACACTTTATGTTGAATTCTTCATTAATAATCTACATATAAATAATTTCTGTATTATAATTCTTGTATAATTATTATGTGAACTAATAGCCTGTTTGGCCAAGCTTCTCCAAGACCAAAAATATTTTTTTTAAGTGTTTTTTTTTCTCCCAAAGCTGAAGTGTTTGGTTGTGCTTTTAAAAAAAAAAAATCTTTTGAGTAGAAGCATAAGCAGTTTTGGAAAAACATAAAAGTAGCTTCTCTCAAAAAATACTTTTTGAAAAGTACTTTTGAGAAAAATATACTTAGAAATAATTTTTAAAAGTCTGACCAAACACTAATTACTATTCAGAAATATTTTTTAAATTAATTAATCAAACACAAATCGCTTCTCACCGAAAGTATTTTTGAAAAAAATACTTATAAGAAAAAAACAATTATCAAAATAAGCTTAATTTAGAAGCTTGGCCAAACAGGCTATAAACGATCACAATAAATTTCAAACAAACAATTTAGCAACTACCTTGTAAATAATATATAAATGTTATCAATAGAGAAGGAAAAAAAATGTTTAGCAGGAAATACAACTTTTATGTGCTCTAGCCACGTGATTATCGTAAATACTTACTCGCACTCTATATTTACATCAAATCAAGTAATTTAATCTTAGTTGATTTAAAGTTAAGAATATATATAAAATATAGTAATTTTTTTTGTATTTATTAATTTATCATAAACATAGGAAGCAGATAAGATTTTACCCATAATTAGAGCCATAAAATCTTCCATTCTCCTTTTTATTTTATTTTTTATTTTTTTCTGAATTAATGACAATGCCCATGGTCCGTCATCGACCATGGATAAGGAAGAAATAAGAATCCATCTGAACCTTTTTGCAAGTGGCAACCTGCAGGGGACTACAAAATTCCAAGCGTATTTCCCTTCCGAGCCGTCAGATTCTTTCTGGCACCTATCCTGACCGTCAATTCGGTGCTCTCCTCTTTTCCTGGTCAAGATCATCGATTCCCTCGTTTTTTCCATTACAGCCCGGAATTCAAATATATATTGAATATAGTTTATTTTGCTTTCCCACTCTCAGGTTTATAACAAAATTCTTCACTCGCGTCTACCACGTGTAGTTAAGTAGATTGCGACGCCGTTTTGTGTATCTATTTTCCATAATACCCTTGACAGTTGTTTCTCTGCGCGTGGCAAAAAGGAAGCGCTGAGCGTATTAAAGGAGCCCTTTGGGTATTTTCTCAACTCAAGAGATTTTTTTGCTTTGATTCTCACTGTAAAAAGAAAACCCTCGGCGGAAGAACAATAGTAGAAGCGCGATCATCATGTCGGCTAGCGGCGGCGGTAGTGGTGGCGCAGGAGAGGAAGAGAAGAAGCCTAACGATCAGGCGGTTCATATCAATCTGAAGGTTAAGGGTCAGGTATACTCATTGTCGACGTTTTAATTGTTTAACATGTATTTTTATCTCTTTACTTCCCTCTGTGTTGATTTTCATGTATATATGCTCGCATACAGCTATGATTTTCGTGCTCAGGATAGTTTTTTTGATTATGTTTGTTTTCGGCATTCGGCAATGATGAAAAAACTCGTGTAGTCAAGCAGTTTTATACTGATAAAGGATGCAATTCTATTAATCCATGATTCCTTTGAATCTGCATGTGGTTCGATGATACATAATCATGAAGTTAATCGGGCTGATGGATTTCATGTTTCTGCACGCACTGGTGAGGGTGTTGTGCACTGTAAGCTGTGATTTACCGTACGAGTGTACGTACGGTGTTTTGGGTAGATTTGTTTACAGAGAAACCAAAACCGAGCCATATCTTGCTGTATTTTTTTTAAAAATAAATTTAAAACCAAAACAACTATTTACCATGTAAAGCTGAGGTTTGGTTTGGAAAACTCGGGAGTTGGTAGAAGGTCTGGGCAGTGTGAGCAGTTAAGAGACCAAACTTTTTGAATATGACTTAATAAAGCTCTTACCAGTGGCGGAGCCACATTGAACCAAGGGGGTGTCGAGCGCTGAAAAATTACACTATATTGCTAGATAATTTTTTATATTTTATGTATATTTACTATACTTTGACTCCCCTTGACATTTCAATGTAGCTAATTATTTATTTTTTGACATCACTTGATGAAAATTCTGGCTCCGCTGGGCTCTTACTATAATATTTCATACCTGTTGCAAATCAATCGTTTTTGTGTGAAGGTAGTGTCCAGGTTAGTTTGCGCCCGCCTCGAGTATTCTATCGGGTACCTGTTACCTCCCACCAATATAGGTACCGGGCAATTTTGCCCACCAATTCTTAAAAGATGAATATCATCCAGTGTTTTTTTGCCTCCGTTGGGGTATAAACTTGAAGCCTTATGGTTTTACTTCCACTTTATTAACCACTAGGCCACACTCTTAGCTGTTAGTGTAGATCATAACGTACTGTACATAAATGGAGAAATGCAGTTTGGATCTCTTCTTACCCCCTATACCATTATTTTTCCCGCTTTGGTAATGTTTGTCATGTACATAAGCAAGACATGGAATGAATAATGAGTGGGATGGAAGTAATCCAAACCTCAACTTAGCTGGCTTAGTGACCCTCTTCTTTTTCTTTTTACTGTGGTATGTTATGAATCTGTGTGGTTAACATTGGGCAGTTACATAAAACCTAAATGAAACCATCATAATGATTATTTTTACAAGTTGAAAACTGTAAGCTACAAACTTATAAAAGAAATATGTTTCTGCTCAGTTTAGTTTGTTGATTGTACAGTTTTTCTGCTCACCACTAAATTTTCTGCCCTCACCTTCTTTTTTCTTCTTTCCTTTTGGGTCTCATTCTGTTCCATTTCATGCTCATAAATTGCAAGTTCCAGTAAATTCTCAAATATTATTTTATCTGTTCTGTTTATATCTGCTCTGTTCAATATACATGCTAAGCTGCGTTCTTGAGTAATATATAGGTCTTATTGCCCAGGTTAGCTCTACCATTCTTTGATTTCCATGTAAGAAATGATTTGAGTCTATAGTCTGTCCGGAATCTGGATAATAAGAATTTTTCCTTAGACATGGAAGGATTCTTGTTATTAATTGGACATGTCAATAGGATGCTGGAGGATAGAAGTATTCTATGCTAGGTGTGGGAGTACTGGGCTTGGGTGTGACCACGAGGAATACAGTATCTTTTGCTGTAGAGATAGGACTTGGAAGAGGGCACTCAGTGTGGGGGCAGACATATCTTCCGACACAGTCTATTCTGTGATGACAGGAATGGTATTTGATTTTGTTGTTTACCTTCTACTGCTAACGCTGTTTAGAAAACCTCAGCGATGGGTCAGTCCCTCTATGGATGAAAACATGCATCCAATGCTCAAACCATAATTAAGGGAAAGTAGATTCACTTAACACAACCACATGTATTAGTTAATACTTTTACTTACCATAAAACCAAGAGGAAAAATAAAAAGAAACCCTCCATGTATTAGTATTTTGTTGCAAACTTCAAAGTAATCTTCTGTTATCCTCATGATGAGTGTCATTGGTATAGGCAATATTTTTTGGAGCATTGCACATTCAATGTTTTTTTTTATCACGTCGGATAATGTAGCCTTCTCTTTTTCTAGACCCTCTTGTGCTGGATAAATTGCTTAAACGCTTTCTCATGCTGTACTCTGTGGTTGTTAATATTGTGGTAATGGTAATAGTTTAACACATTTACTCTTGAGGGAAATAAGTGACTTGTCTAGATTAACCTGGCCTCCATGCCAGGGGGCCAGGATCATTGATTGCTTGAATCTTACCTTGCTCGAATGTGACAGATAATATCGTTTAGTTAGATGTATTTCATAGTAGCTGCATGGAATGTAGACTCCGAAGCAGCAAACTGCACTTAACCTATTTCTCTCCCTTTCTTTTTTCCTTTCATTAAATCGCGTGGTTGTGAGTTTGTTGAGTCGTATGTTATGTGGCCCCAATGTGCATTTTTCCAAACATTTGCTTCTTTGTATTGCGTTGGTTGGCATTCTTTTGCCATAGTTTGTGTCCTCCCTCAACCTAAAAACGAGGAAGAGAGTATGAGAAGATGGAATTGAGGAATCATTTTCATATTGAATTGTGTGTTTTTTTCATTCGTAGTTTCCATCAATTCTTGCATGCAGGATGGACATGAGAAGATGGAATTGAGGAGTCATTTTCATATTGAATTGTGTGTTTTTTTCATTCGTAGTTTCCATCAATTCTTGCATGCAGGATGGACATGAAGTGTTTTTCAGGATCAAGCGTAACACACAGTTGCGCAAGCTCATGAATGCTTACTGTGACCGTCAGTCAGTTGACATGAACTCGATTGCGTTCTTATTTGATGGCCGCAGGCTTAAGGGAGAGCAAACTCCTGATGAGGTACTGAAACACTTCACACAACTTGTCTTGTTTAACCAACTTATATTTATCTCACATTCTTTTCTACAATTGTTGAATAGCTGGAGATGGAGGAGGGTGATGAAATCGATGCAATGCTACATCAAACTGGAGGCTATGATGCTGGATGCTGCTAATTGTTTACTTGGTGGTTATATGGTTATAGGTTGGTTGTTAGGGTGAACGCTTTGGAGTGTTGGTTATTACTCTCCCATCTGCCTAAATGGTGGTGTATGAATGTTAGTAGTATTAGTTTTCAGTACTAGACGATGGCTTCCAAATAGTTTTCACTTTCCATCAGCAATTATCAGAGTTTACTCTGAATATGGTTTCAGATTGTGTCTTGCATCTCACTTTGCCTAATTATATTTCAGGCCTGTCGTAATGATAAAACATTAACATCTTGCAAATGCTGAAACTAGGGCTATCTAAGAGGAGGGTTCTGGAGACTTTACGGGAGGGAAAGAATTCAAGGTTACGAAGTGCCTTTTATTTTATTTAAATGTAATATAAATATTATATTTTTGACATAAGTTAAAAGTATTTATTTGTAGTATATTTCGTGGTTTTGCAACAACTCTTGGTATCAAATTTAAAGCACATGCGTTAGTAAACTTACAAAAAATTGGTAACTTCATAAATGTAACAAACCAACCATAGGAGGATGGCATTAATGATGGTTGACCAACTCCTCATCCAATACCTAATTAGCTATTAAAAAATATGTTAAAGCATCTGGTATTTCATATCATCTGGCAGTGCTTCATTGGATGATAAAACTAGTTTGTCTTACATTTTGATCTTTAACAATCCTTAATGATTGGCCGGCACCTTTCACCATTAAGGTGACTACCAAAACCTCATTTAAGGTGAGATGCAAATTAAGGTTGCAAAGACCTGATTAATGGTTACAACTGCTTAATTCCCGTTTTATGGTTAATCCTATTGATGTTCATAAGCATTAAACTAATCAGAGGGATGGAAGTTAACAATATAGTGAATTACAGTTTCATCCTGCACCAATTTAAGTTAGAGCAAAAATCACCCAATCGACCTAAATGTTAAAAGAAAAATATCTTAAGATACCGTAAGGTAGCTGTGGAGGGATTTGTCACAAATGATTACATGTTGGGTTGCACGTATTGGAATAGGAGTAAGACATTATTAAATGTCCCACTATCTGGACTAAGTTGTCAAGTCCTTCTCAACACAAGCTTGACAGCTATTCTCCCGCGACTTTTTCCTACTTCCAGAAAGCAAAAGAGAAAGACAATTCCAGAAATTCATATTCATATATGAGGGTAAAGTAAAAACGTCCATGTGACCCAAAATAAGACCTTTGTTTCTTCTCTCTGATTTTCTATTCAAACTTTGAATATTAGTCCATACAAGACAGAGGTACAATATACACAAAGGATACCAAGGACCATAATCCTATTCATGCCTGACAAATATTCACTAGCTAGTAATCACTGATTCACAAAAGACACTAAATTGGGCTAACTCAGAAAAGGATATAGAGACCAATGTAAGAATGCAACATTGAAACAAGATGGGGGAACCAAGAAGAAGAGAAAATAAATTAAAATTAACGAGAAGGCTAAACATTGAAGCTGTGGAAGTTGAAATGGTTTCCAATTGATCAGAAAATGTCGAGAACTTCCAAAATGAAATTGTTGCAGAGAGGACAATTACCCCTTTGAACCCAGAGCTCCCTACAACACAACCTGCAAAATGTATGTCCACATGGTATAAACGCAGCACCCTTATGTCTCACCATACACACACAACAATTGTTATATTCTCCGCCGGCACCGACACCGGCGCCGGCGACGGAAACTCCATTATCATCAACCTCTTCCTCATCATCGTCATCTTCTTCATCTCCATCTCCTATCATATACGCTGACCCATCTCCATCATTCTCTGCTAACAACGCCATTAATGACATCCTCACCGGTTCTTCTCCTCCGGCATTTTCCCCTTCACTTTCTTCCTCTTCTGCAGTTTCATTTCTGCTCGAATTTCTTCGCAATATTCTCTGTGACCCAGATGCAGAAACCTCCCGCTGACCGAAATTTTCAACGGGCAGGTCCTCTGGGTAAGCAACAGCGTCGAGGGGAGGAGGTGACCGAGGGGACAACCGACGAGACATTATTATCGGATTGCTATTACCCTGTTGAATGGAAATATTAGAAGTCCAGGTGTCGGCAGCACGTTTAAGACGGAGTTTGCTCCTGAAATGTTTCCAAGTTTTTCGAGTTTTTCTGCTACTGTTGGGATCCTCTTGAATGATATCAAGAAGAGTTCTGTTGGAGGAATGGACAGGGGAAGAAGAAGAAGAACATTCTGGTTTGTTGCTCAACACAGCGCCTAGCGTAAGACCTGCTGTAATATTATTGTTGTTTTCTTTGACTCTGAGGAAATCTCCGAGGTTAGGAGTATCGATTTTATCATTGAACATCAATGTTCTTAGACTACTACTGTTGCCGCTGCCACCAGCGGCGCTTTCCATTCAAAAGTTAAAGTTCAGTTAGATATCAGGCAAAACCAAAAATCAATTAAGAAGTTTTGGCACGGAACTGAAATGGGGAACTTCTTATTTTGGGATTGGAAACTTCGTAATAGAGATTCGTGACAAATATCTTGGAGACCGGAAAAGGGAATAAAAAAATGATGAATTTTGACATGAAAGGAAAATGACAATGGAAGAGACTCAGATCTGTGGAAATTGAGGCAATTTATTCAATACATAGAAAAGGGGAGAAGAGGAAAGAAGAAAGCGTAGAGGGAAAGACATAGGATTCCTCAGGGGGGAGGTGACCCATGGGATCAGAACTCAGATCTGGGGTATTGTACTTTAGGTATAGCAGCTCAATCAATGAAGAAAGAAGAAATACGTTAAAAGAACAGACACAGTTCTAAAAAGAGAGAGATGAAACAAAAAAGATAGAGAGAAGGGGTGTATGTGGGGGGGAGGAGACAGGATGAAGCAGAAAAGCTTTTGCGTGGACGTTGTGAAATGAAATCTCACTCTACCTAGAAATTGGCATTGACGGGGTAATTTGGATTGGAAGGTCCCCCCCACCAATTTATTTCATCTACACAATCCAATTCCAGCTCTCTTTGTCCATTTTCTTCGTCACAGGAAAAGTAACATCCAATTTCTGGTTTTTCACTAATTGATTAATTTGGTGAATAGGATAATGCTTGGTGATTAGGCATTAGAACGATCATCCTGTCTTTGAATGCAATACCATTTTAATCCTTATCCCGCGCCTTAAAGTATCATTGATTAATTTTTACACAAATCGGATTATGATGATTCTCTAGACAAACTAGTCTTTTAGAATTCTATAAATCACATGACTCTAATGAGTTCTTCTTTACCCGAAAAACGGATAGAGTGAAATTTATACGTAGTTCTAAGGGTATGTGTATAACTTAATACGAATTGGAAAAATAAGTAAAAAAATATCGAATATTAACTGTAAAAAGGAATGAATACAAACCCAAATTGAGTAGAGAATGATTGATAAATGAACAAGATGAATCAATATCAAAAGCCCAAAAAGGATAATATTTGCTATATGCTATGTAAATCTCAATAATCTCTGAATGTGAGAATGTATGAATGTCTCCCCCTCTTACACATGATAGCCACTCTTAATATAGTGGAGGAATCATACTTTGGATATCATTAAAAATACATAGTGGGGATCCCATGATAGATTAGTTAATTAGCTTTTCCTTGATTTCCACCGAGTTTCTCTTCCCTATTGCGGCTACAACGACTCTTTGTCTCTTGGCTCGATCTTGGTTGGTCTTGGCATTGGTCGGTCTCTGGGTCTCGAGCTTGATATTGACTTGAGCTCGATTGGTCTCTGGGACTCGAGCTCAATATTGACTCGAGCTCGATATTGATTCGGGCTCGATATTAATCGGTCTCTGGGTCTCGATCTCGATATTGACTCGAGCTCGGTATTTGATCGGTTCCTGGATCTTGAGCTCGATAACCCAACTTTACATCACAGCTCGATAGTATAATAACGACCCTCAGTCCATCATGCTCCAATCTTGACTAATCACACGAAGGGCAAACTCGGTTTTGACCGTATACAGATAGTCCCCTCGTTTCTCGAAAAGAAGGTGGCGAGAAACGATATGATTTTTCAACCTCTGACTAAATACATACTGACGTTTGCGTCGAGCCCGATTGTAACGTATGTGACAAATGTCCCATCGGTCCAGTTACCAAGGCATTAAATGCGCGTTAGTCGATAGTCGGCCACTGCCAATTTTGAACCGTCACTGTGAAATCTATAAATAGCCCTCTTCTTCATAATTTCAAACTTTTACCTTCAAATCTCATTTCATTCCAATCTTCACGGTTCTTCGTCTTCCCCAAAGCTCTCTATTTTCAGATTTTGGAATTTCTTTGCTTGTTCTTCTCAAAATACCAAATACTTCACTCTCCCTTCTTCTTTGTTCATAACAATTTAGATGGCAAAAATATCTAAAACTGTTTCGCAGAAAGAGCTTGCTTCCTCATCTCGACCGGTCGGCGAGAAAACAGTGGTGGAGCCACGCCTTGAAGAACTTGTTCCTGGGAGGTGCGTTATTGATTCCGATTTTAAGGTCGAGAAACCCTCATCGGTTGCTGGTCGATGCGAGCCGGTATCGAGATATATATGCTTGATTCCAAAAAGTCTTCTTGACCTAGTGAAAAACAATTGCAATTGGGAAAATAAAGAGGTCGTGATACCGGCACCGGATGGGGCGATCATTACCTACATGGAAGGGTACCTGAGTGTTTACACTTATCCTTTCACGCTGGGTCCCCTTGATTCAGTCATCGTCGATTTTGCCAAGAAGTACCAGATGACCCTTGGTCAAATTCACCCTTCTTTCTGGAGGATTGTGATACTGCTTCGTTTCTTTGTGAGCAAAATCGACGGGCTTCTCTTCGCCCTCGACCACCTCGTAAGATTATATAGCCCTCGTCTTTACCTAGGTGGGCTGATAAAGCTTCAATGCCGGGCCACCAAGGCGTTCACCTCGAGCATAGATGAAGACAAAGATCGGGGTTGGATGAGCCGGTTCGTTCGAGTGAAGACCTCGGACCTAATCCTGGCTGAGAGTATGCCATTTTTCGAGAAATAGAATATGAACCGTAAGTGTGATTCCGTTTTTAGTTTTTGTTGTTTTTTTACTTCTTTATCTTTTCTTATTAGTGTTTTTCTTGACACAACCATTGCTTGGATGCCGGGTGTTCCCTATCTCGAGAACTGGGTCAGGAGCCTAGTTTCGACGTCAACATATGCCGACCGCGCATGGCACGATTTGTCAAAGGGCCGGTGGGATACTCATGGTAAACCTTCCTCTTGGCTCACCGATTTGCTTACCGTTCAAGCATTTTTTCGGATATAAGTTTCACTTACTTTTCTTTCTTTGTAGGTCTCGAAAAAGATGCAGTTATGAGACCCCCATCAGGTGATGAAGAAGCTTTACCGCCTATCTCAAAATCGGAGAA